TAAACTGAACGCTCAAAATGCAAACGGTTCAACGATTGATGTACTCGCTACGACTAGTTACTTACGTCAAAAAGGGAAAGCAAGCACGGATACAGGCGAAGCAAACTCTAAACATTACGTCTGCCTCTTGTTTTTTTTAAAATTCGATTTTGAAATAGTAATAGCTATTACTTTACACAGTGAACTGAAACTTTCGTCTCTATAACGAGATGTCAGCAGCGACGGTCAAACTGTGATAACCCGGTTAGTGAAACTTAGTTTAATTAAGAAAACTGACCTGTAGTAACTTTCATCAGGAACCAACGATCCCCCTGCCAAAACAAAGGCCAGAAAATGAAAAAGAATGTTAAGTTTCGGCACAGTTTGAAAGTTAAACCCAGGTCTCTGATCCTCTTGATTAACCTGAAGACGGGAGCAACACAATGAAGGGCGGGAGTCGGGAGGTAAAGGGGCACAAAAGTACGGGAGGCGGGAGAACGTGGTACGGGAAGCGGGAGACTCTGACCTCCCTGTTCCCCCACCCCCCCCCCCACTGTAAAGAGTAGTAGGGGTCTTCCACGTCATGAAGTCTCTGTTTTAAGGCGTTGTTCTCATCTTGAAGCTTTGTCAGCTCACAATTAAAAGTCAGGTTAGGCAAAATTTGCCGCGAAGAATTAGCTCTTTCACTTCATTCTGTAAATCTAATAGAAGTGGTAAGCATGGGCAATTCTCTAAGTTGTTGGTTTCGTCTCTTGCCTTATACAGTAGCGAAGTATCCGTTTGATCAGAAACTGCACTCGTTTTCTGGCGGGTACTTTGAAAAGATGACTTCAATCGGGAGACCAAAGTTTGTTTGTTTCCCTTTTTTGATAGATTCCTTTTAGCAAGTTCGTCTTTCAGTGCTGGAATGGTTAGACTCCTAATTTCTTTCTCAGTTAAAGGCACCATCTCGTCCTTTCTCTCGAAAGTACTATGCTTTAAGTTGGAGTCATTCCTGTCATGACTGTCGTTGGCCGGCAACGAAGATGATTCAGGCATAACATCTATCAAACCAAGACTTTAATCTTGTTTTTTATGAGCAAAATACTCGCACGTAGATTGCGTGAAGACATCCGGTAACGAAGCAGACCTTCGTAAAGCGCCCGTTACGAAATTTGCTTTGAGAGTCGCCAAGGCGATTAAAGATTGCCAGCTGCGGCCCACAACCGTTGTGATCTAAAATTCAAGGCCCATAACAATTCCTGTCATCTTTCATAACCTCTTGAGTTATAATGCTCACATCAAGAAACTTGGCGAACATTATGATGTCGAACAGGAGTTGGGATCGGGAAAACCTGAGGAGAGAAAAATTAGATTACCAGAGAAAGTAGACAAAGAAAAGCTCAATACATCGTTGAGAATTTAAAAACTTTGATTTGTAAAAGTTTAGGATTATGGAGGAGAAATAACAAGATTAAAACTATATCTTGGAGGGCTCAATGAAAAAGGAGAACACACAGTCACAAACAAAAAAGAGGAAAAGAAGATATTTTGCTGATTGTTCATCACTTCAAGGAGTAAGAAGGAAGGTGAGACACAATTTCACAAGAAACAAGGAAATCCACGATTGTTGGCTCCGATGTTGAATGATTACCTAGAGAATCACGAAGAGATGCTGAAATCATTTATGGATAATTTTCAAATGAGGAAAGAGATGCAAAGAAAGAACTATAAGCATTAGTAAATGGAAGACAGAGAGTGGAGAAGAAAACTGATCCCGATTGGTTCATCAAATACACGAGAGAGATGAAAAAAATTGAAACGAAAATGATAAAATTCAACCCATAGTTAGTTTCAAAGGCGAAGGAAACAAAGGGAGAGAATTATCATAATATAAGAGGATCAGTTCTGAATCACATCATGTGTGATCTTCAAATCAATCACTTATCATGTGCAAATATCTTGAGAAAAATAACGTAAGATAGCATGCCTTGTTTTTGATGGTCTCGTAATACATAAAGACGACGTTGAAGAAGGAAAAGACGAACTTCTGAAAGGTTGTTTAGATGAAATCAAGAAAACCATCGGGTTCGATATCGGAATAGTTAAAAAACTAGTGGACAAGAAGCGTCAAAACCACAAAGTGACATATTTCTGCATAGCGAAAACTGAAGAAAACTACATATCTTTTACAAAGATAGTTGTTGACAGATTTAGTAAGATTGAAAAAGATGGAGAAGTGAAGTCGATTAATATGTGAAATTTGACAGCCTCAGATTCATGCAGCCATCTCTCCGCCACCCTCGTTTCTAATCTCCACAAAGATGACATTTGTCACCTCAACAAGTACATTGATAATATAAATAAGATGTCGAGGAAAGGAGTGTTTCCATATGATTAATTTGATTCACTCAAGAAGATGGAAGCCACACACCTGCCACCAAAGGAAGATTTCTTTTCAAAGCTTAATAATGAACACATCACTGACGAAGACTACAAACACGCTCAAGAGGTTTGGAAGAAATTTGGATGCAAACGATGGCACTCCACTACGATCTTTACCTCTGTTTATGTTCTTACCCTCGCAGATGTTTTTCAAAACTTCAGAAAGGTTTGCATGAAAAACTAAAAGCTCTATTTAGCATGGTATTTCATAGCATCAGTTTAACTTAGGACATAGCTCTTAAGAAGACGGGAGTATTTCTCTATCTTCTAACAGACCCTGACATGGGGATTTTGATGTTTGAAAAAAGAATCCAAGATGAGTTTCAATGATTTCAAAGAGACATGCAAAGGCGAATACTAAGTATATGAAAGACTTCAACCCTGAGGAAGAAAGCACTTTCATCACGTATCTCGATGCAAAGGATCTGCACTGATAGAGAATGAGTAAAAACTTTCGACCTCTTTATCTCGAATGGATGGATGCTCCCGCAGAATTTGAGAATTGGAAAGACTTTGCAGATCCTGACTCGGACGTTGGATTTATGCTTGAAGTTGATCTTGAATATCCTGACCATCTTCATCTAGTCTTCACAATGACTATCTATTAGCTCCTAAGAGATTGATTACTGACAGAGTTGAAAAGCTCATCCCGAACTTTCATTTTAAAGAGAAGTGTGTGCTTCACTCTAGAAACTTGAAGAATTACACACATTTTGGGATGAAGTTTAAGATGATTCATCGAGAATTCAAGCTCAAACCATATGCCCGGTTAAAACCTTACATCTACTTGAACACAAAACTCAGAACTGGTGCCAAATCAGATTTTGAAAAAGACTTCTACAGGCTTATGAAAGGCATCTCAGTATTTGGAAAGACAATGGAGAATATACGGAATAAAGTGGTCATGAGAGTTATCAGACAGAACAGGCAATCGGTCACCAAAATCTTCGATGAGAATCTTATGGCAGTTCACATGCAGGTGACTCACCTCGTTTCAGAGACGTCAAGAATACTTTCTGGACAGAAGAAGTTCAACTTCGTTAGATGAACTGTATAACTCGAAAAAGAATGAAATGTTCACTCAGATTATAAATAAGATCGCTTTCGCAGCAAACACTGACAAGAGGTACATATCAGATGATATATGCTTCATGACAGTTAGACTACCAGTATCGGTCATAGTCATAGTCATAGTCATAGTCATAGTCATAGTCATAGTCATAGTCATA